GCAGTGGCTCACGCCTGTAATCCTAGCACTCTGGGAGGCCAAGGCAGGTGGATTGCTCGAGGTCAGGAGTTTGAAACCAGCCTGAGCAATAGCAAAACCCATCTCTACTATAAATAGAAAGAAATTAATTGGCCAACTAATAATAGAGAAAAAATTAGCCGGCATGGTGGCACATGCCTGTAGTCTCAGCTACTTGGGAGGCTGAGGCAGCAGGATTGCTCGAGCCCAGGAGTTTGAGGTTGCTGTGAGCTAGGCTGACGCCACGGCACTCACTCTAGCCTGGGCAACAAAGCGAAACTCTGTCTCAAAAAAAAAAAGGATGGTGAGTAGCTAAAGAAACAGGCTATGCATTAGGCCCTTGGTTATTCATGTTCATATTCATAATATAAATAGAAGAAATAAGCTCTCTTTTCCTATTACAAAGGGTTAAGATTGATTTTAAAGCTAAGCATTGTTGAGAACTATAAGTGTTATGCTTTCATCTCAGCACTAAGGATAACAACAATAAATCCAGCAGGCTGGTTTAACTTACTGTATTCTTCTGAGACCTGAACTACTGCCAATGAAAACAACTTTGATGGAAACTTTCCTGGAAAGAATTTTTCACCAGCTTAAGAGGATGAGTGGAAAGAAACTACAAAGGCACTTGCTTCAAGAACAAGCAGCTCTTTCAGGGTATATAGTGAGAGTGGAGTACTGTAAATCCATCTACAGGATGAATAGTTTCAAATAACCTGTGTCAGCTCTTTTAAATATAATGTCTACTCTAAATAATTCATTAAACTTTCTCAGCATAAAAACTAAAACATGTTTTGGTTTCCAGCTAACCAAGAAATACATCCTTCAACTCTTCTCTTAAACAGCACATTCACTGTACCGTTCAATATGGTGACTACTAACTACATGTGGTTATTTAGATTTAACTAATTAAAATTAAAACTTCAGTACATCAGTTACATTAGGCACAGTTCAAGTGCTTGGTAGTCACATGTCCAGTGGCTACCATATTGGACAGCACAGATATACGACATTTCCATCATTGCAGAAAACCCTATTGGACAGTGCTTCATTAGAATGTGTTCCTAATAATTAGTCTCTAGGCCTGGCGCAGTGGCTCACGCCTGTAATCCTAGCACTTTGGGAGGCCGAGGCAGGTGGATTGCTCAAGGTCAGGCGTTTGAAACCAGCCTGAGCAAGAGTGAGACCCCGTCTCTACTATAAATAAAAGGAAATTAATTGGCCAACTAATATATATAGAAAAAAATTAGCCGGGCATGGTGGCACATGCCTGTAGTCCCAGCTACTCGGGAGGCTGAGGCAGTAGGATTGCTTTGAGCCCAGGAGTTTGAGGTTGCTGTGAGCTAGGGCTGACACCACGGCATTCACTCTATCACTGTAGCCTGGGCAACAAAGCACAACTCTGTCTCAAAAAAAATAAAAATAATTAGTCTCTAAGAGGCAAATGAGAGCAGGAGCTCAGGATTCAGCTGGATCTAGATTTAAATTCTAGCTCTGACATTTACTATATGATCTTAGGTAATTGACTTAACTTTTCTGAGACTTTCTTGTCTTATCTGTAAAATGCAGATAAGAGCAATATTTATAGTGTAGCATTGTTAAGATAAAATGAGATAATGTAGGTAAAGTGTCTAGCATAATGTCTGGCCCACAATAAGTACTCAATACATTTTAGATATTATTTCATTTATCCTTAATGAATAAAACATTTTGGAGCAAAGGATGCCCTATCCCATACCTGACTCACCTGAATTGCTCAAATGTAGGTCTCTGAGTTGATTACAGTGCTCCATTTGAAGCCATACTTTATATTTCAGATGCTGATTTTATTCCAGGAAAAAGGCATAATAATAAAAATTTAGTTGCAGATCTTATGGCTGGATTTTTTTTTTCATTTTAAAAAGGAAAAGTTTAAAGTCTCAGGTTCTGTCTAGCAAGTCTGTGTATTCCAGTGACACTTACTGTATTAATACCCAAACAGAAATATAAGGCTGACACAAAGCAAACCTTCTCAGCAAAGTATCTGCTAGATAAACTTGAAAACTCAAGTTGATTGCTTGGCTAAATAGAGATGGCTGTGAACAAAGAAACTTTTTTGTTACTAATAAACAGGAACCTTAAACTATTTTTTTTCTTGCCTTATGTTTTTTTTTTCCCCAGCATATTACGAGGATACAAATGTTTAGATTATATATATTGCCTTTGCTCCACCCCAGTCAGAGCTTCAAGTGTGTCCATCCCCCAGATGATGCGCACTACATCCATTAGGTGTGAATTTACCCATCCTTTCCCCTTTCCACCTTCCAGACACCCAGTGAATGCTACTACTATATGTGCACATAATTGTTGATCAGTTATTACCAATTTGGTCGTGAGTACATGTGGTGCTTGTTTTTCCAACTATTGAACATGTGCCAAATGGAAAAGGGAAATCATCAACAGATATTTAAGTCTTAGCTGCTTTCATAAAATAAATGACTTCTTCTGAAAAGAATTAATCAGGTCGATGTCTTTGTTGTGTCAACAGAACTGAATGAATTAATTCTGGAAAGTCTTCCATTCTCTTTGGAATTTATTTTAATGCATAGAAACTGTAATCTTAGGGTGTGTGTGTGTGTGTGTGTGTGTGTGTGTGTGTGTGTGTGTGTGTGTGTGTTTTTAAGAGACAGGATCTTGCTCTGTTGCCAAGACTGGAGTACAGTGGTACAATCATAGATCACTGTAACCTTGAACTCCTGGGCTCACGTGATCCTCCCACCTCAGCCTCCTGAGTAGCTAGGACTGCCAGCATATGCTACCATGCCTGGTCGACTTTTTTAGTTTTTTTGTAGAGACAGGGTCTTGCTCTGTCACCCAGGTTGGTCTTGAACTCCCAGCCACAAACAATCTGCCTGAGGCTCCCAGAGTACTTAGATTACAGGTGTGAGCCACTGTGCTGGGCCTGTCGATTTTAAATTCTTTCTCCTAAGGCTACATTTATCATACAATACTATTAATATAATTGGACCACTGGACTAAATACGTAATACTGGTACTTATAAAAGATAAGAACAGATTAAGGTAATTAGACATTTTTTCCACTGTCCTCAATTTTGTAGGGACAATAAACTTCTTATTTGAAGCATAACTAACACTTGGAAAAGCATACAAATCATAACTATAGCCCAGTGAATTACCACAAAATGAACATACCTTGTAAATATCATCAGATCAAGAAATAAAACATCAGCACCTTGGAAGACCATCCTCTTGTCCCTCTCAGTCATTACCCTTTTTCATAAAGGAAACCATTTGATTTCTTAAATGATAGATTAGTTTTACCTGTTCCAGAACTTTATACAAGTGGAATCATACTGTATATATTCCTTTGCATCTGACTTTGCTTGTTTCAGTTTCTTCCCATCTTGCCAATACTTTTTATTGTCTACCTTTTTGATTATAGTTAGCCTCTTGGGTATAAATGTTATCTCGTGATTTTGATTTACATTTCCCTAATGACTTATGATATTGAACATCTTTTTATGTGGCCATCTATATCTTCTTTGGAAAAATATCTTTTCAAATCTTTTGCCCATTTTTTAATTGAGTTGTCTTTTTATTATTGAGTAAGAATTCTTTATACATTCTCTCATTTTGTGGGTTTTTACTTTGTTTATAATGTCCTTTGAAATAACAAAATTTTAATTTTGATGAAGTCCAGGTTATCAATTTTTTATTTTTCTTGTGCTTTTGTTGTCATATCTAAAAATTTGTCAAAAAGATTTATGCATAATTTTTTTCTAATGGGTTTTATAATTTTAGCTCTTCCATTTAGGTCTTTAATACATTTTGTGCTACTTTTTGTATAGGATGTGAGGTAGAGATCCAGTTTTATTCTTTTGCACGTGGAAATCAGTTGCCCCAGCACCACTTGTTGAAAGGCTGTTCTCTTTCCAAATGAATGGTCTTGGCACCCTTGTTAAAAATCAATTGACCATGAATGTAAAGGTTAATTTTGGAACTCTCAATTCTGTTCCTTTGATCTATCTGTCTATCCTTGTTCTAGTACCACTGAGTAGCTTTGTAGTAAGTTTTGAAATCAGGAAGTGTGAGTCCTCCACCTTTATTCTTCTTTTTAAGATTATTTTGGCTGTTTTTGGTCTTTTTCATTTCCATGTGGATTTTGGGATTAGCCTGTCAATTGCCACAAAAAAGGCAGCTGGGGTTTTGATAGGGATTGCATTGAATCTATAGATCAGTTCTGGGAGTATTGCCATCTTAATGATATTAAATCTTCTAATCCATGAACATGGAATGTCTTTCCATTTTTTAGATCTTTTCAATTTATTTCAACAATGTTTTGTAACATATAGCGTATAAGTCTTACAATTCTTTTGTTAAATTTCCTAAGTATTTAAATTTTTTGATGCTATTATAAATAAAATTTTCTTAGTTTCATTTTCAAATTATTGCTATAATATACAGAATACAATTTATATTGACTTATATATTGCAACCTTGTTGAACTCATTTATTAGCTGTAATTGTTTTGTGTGTGTATGTGTGTGTATTCCTTAGGATTTTCTATATACAAGATTGTGTCTTCTACAATAGAGACAGTTTTACTAATTTCTTTCCAATTGGAAGCTTTTTGTTTTATTTTCTTACTTAACTGCCCTAGCTAGAACCTCCACGTTGAATAGCAATGGTGAGAGTGGACATCCTTGTTGTTAAATGTAATGTTACCTGTGAGGTTTTCGTAGATGCTTTTTATCAGGTTAAGGAAGCTTCTCTGGAATAAATCTTACTTGGTCAGGGTGTATAATTTTTTTTTTTATATGTGACTGGATTCAGTTTGCTAGTGTTTTGTTGAGACTTTTTATATCTTTATTTATAAGTGATATTGGTCTGTAGCTTCTTTTATTTCCTTTGGTTTTGTGTCAGTGTAATACAAGTGTATGTTTTGATGTATAATAAATTTAAACCTTTTTTGTCTCCAACAGAAAATGATCCACAGTCTATTTCTCATAAACTGTTCTGGTGACATATTTCTAGAGAAGCACTGGAAGAGTGTTGTGAGCCAGTCTGTCTGTGATTATTTCTTTGAAGCTCAGGAAAAAGCTGCTGATGTTGAGAATGTACCACCTGTCATTTCAACACCTCACCACTACCTCATCAGTATCTACCGTGATAAGCTCTTCTTTGTGTCTGTCATACAGACTGAGGTACCACCTCTCTTTGTAATTGAGTTCCTACATCGAGTTGCTGACACTTTTCAGGTTGGTTATCCATCAAACCTTTCTAACTTAAATTACCCAAGTTAGTTGGAGGTGAAACATGATTACATTCTTTAATTACTCAGCTCTTGATGTATACTCTCTGTCTCTCGTTTTAACTAAGATTAAGTTCATAAACTCTTTTCTGTGTGGTGTATAGTGGCTCACATGGTTGCTGTTTTCACTATTTTTTACGTGTATTACAAATTACAGTTGGCCCTCATATCTGTGGGTTCCACATCCATGAATTCAACCAGCATCAAGAAAAAAAATTGCATCTGTACTGGACATGGACAGAATTTTTTTCTTGTTTATTTCCTAAACAATGCAGCATAACAATTATTTACATAGTTTCTATATTACATTAGGTATAATAAGTAATCTAGAGGTGATTTAAAGTATATAGGAAGATGTGCATAAGTTCTGTGCAAGTAATATGCCATTTTATGTGAGGGACTTAAGTATCTGTGGATTTGGGTATCCATGGGGGTTCCTGGAACCAGTCCCCACAAATACCCAGGGCTGACTGTATATCATCAGGAAACAATAGTGGCCTCCACATATAGTTCTCTGGATGGTCCCAAGATTTTTTTTATTGGTTATGGAAACCCTTCTGTATTTACATTTTATTATATCCTCTTGTCTTGCTGAATATACCAAATAATTTAAACTTATCCATTTGTGTTTCACAGTAGTTAATCAGGGCAAATGAAGTTTGTAGTTCACTTTCCAGTTTAATGTTTCAGTAGTTTCTGGTATGATACGTGATGTGAATGCAATTCAATCTACAAATTTTAAGAAAATATTAAGGAATAGTGTTAGGACTATAGAGGGCTTTCCCCCCCCTCTGCTTTATATATATCCAGCATCTTAAACAATGAATTATGCTACAGTGAGTTTATTATGTATATTTTGTTAGGACTACTTTGGTGAGTGTTCAGAGGCTGCAATTAAGGATAATGTGGTCATAGTATATGAACTCTTAGAAGAAATGTTAGACAATGGATTTCCACTGGCTACTGAATCTAACATTTTGAAAGAATTGATTAAACCACCAACAATTCTACGTTCTGTTGTCAACTCTATTACAGGTAAGATAAAAACATTACTAGGAACTGAGCAGTTAAAACTTTATGAACAGGCTGGGCGTGGTGGCTCACACCTGTAATCCTAGCACTCTGGGAGGCTGAGGCGGGCAGATTGCTCGAGGTCAGGAGTTCAAAACCAGCCTGAGCAAGAGGGAGACCCCTTCCCTATTATAAATAGAAGGAAATTAATTGGCCAACTAATATATACAGAAAAAATTAGCCGGGCATGGTGGTGCATGCCTGTAGTCCCAGCTACTCGGGAGGCTGAGGCAGTAGGATTGCTTGAGGCCAGGAGTTTGAGGTTGCTGTGCGCTAGGCTAATGCCACGGCACTAACTCTAGCCTGGGCAACAAAGTGAGACTCTGTCTCAAAAAAAAAAAAAACTTTATGAACAACTTCTTGTTGCTTATGATCTGACAGATGATTAAAGTAGTCCAGTTTGGCCAGAATTAAAGTACTAGTAATGTGAAAAATGGATGTACTGTGTATTTCTTTCCATCGAAAGAGGCTGGGTCTTAAATGGTTTTGGTTATTTTGGTTATTACTCTTCTTGTGAAAGGTTTTTTTCCCTACAAGACCATAATAGTATTATTACTATTATTTAACACAAAATAATAAGACTGAATAAATTATCCCAGTTAATTCTAAAGAAGCTAGTATATGAGCCCACTTAGAAGAGCATTTAGTCTATTTATAGCCTGGCATTTTAATATTTAAAATAGCATTATATAACTGGCATGCTGCTACCCCACAATTACTAGAATATAGAAAATTTAAGACTCTTTGCCATACAATATGTACTGTCTCCTCCAGTTTTTTGTTTTCATACATGCAAAAGATGTATTAAAACAAGAGGAAATAGGGAATTAGTTTACTTGTGAGAGCTCATGCATTGTGGGCCTGTACTTCTGTGATAAGCTTCCAGTTGGGCTTCATTCTTGAGTATAGCTAGAAATTAGGTACATCCAGATGGCAATATTCTTTTGAAAGTATTAAAGTCTTTTAGAGAAAGATTCCTATGAAATGTTATATGCCACTATGAAATGTTATACTGTCCACCATTGTAAACTCCTCTCCAGTACATTGATCTAAAAATGGGATGAGAACAGCCTAAAAGAAAATGATCATTCAGCAGCTCTTTATTCATCCTCTGTGCAAGAGTGAGTGCTAAGAAAAATTCAGAGAAAGATAAGGTGGAGTGTCTGTGCTCCTAAAACTTAACACTCTGAGTGGAAGACTGGAAAAGAAATTCAAACACATAAATAACAGTATAAGACTTGAAAAAGCAATTCCATACTTTATAGATAATGTGATGACATTGGAAAGTACACATGATATAATATTAAATGGAAAACCCAGCACAAAACCATAAAAAGTTATTCTTAGTTATATGTAAATTTTCACACAGACAAAAAAGTTCTAAAATATTTACAATGTTTATCTCCAGCTAAGGAAATACAGATTATCTTTTTTTTTGCTTTATACTTTTTAATTTTCCAAAATAAACATGTTTATAGTCAGAAAAAATTACTAAAATATAGAATATAAAAATATAGCATAGATTCATGAGGCAGTATGTTACAAAGTTCAAGAGAATGGTTCGATAGATGAAGTAATCCCTCCTGAACTGTACTGGGTGACCTTCAACCACCCTAGAGAATCAGAATTAGGAAGATGGGGGAAAAGAGCATTCTTCACAGCTGAACCTCTATGAGAAAAAACACACATGAAGTGAAAAACCTTGAGTTATATTAACCTCTTTAGCAGAAATAGAGCTGTTTTTGGTTGAGAAGTTTGAGATAAAATTGAAAAGTTGAGAAAGTCCTTGAATGCTATGCTAAATATTCAGCTTTTTTCATAAAGCCAGTGGGGAAACATTGAAAGTTTTTGAATAGGAAGATAACATGATTAAAGTAGTGCTTTTTGAAAATTCTTCTGGAAGGCGACAGGTTGGAGATAGGAACACCAACCACAAGTAAACCACAAAATTGTGTTAATATATACGGTATTATTGCTACTATATTTTAAAGTGCAATTAAAAACAAAATTATAAAATAGAAAAAATAATAAATGCCACCTATTCATGGGGGATATGTTTAAAGAAATTTGCCAGAATACTATAATGTAATATTAAAATGTTAATACCATTATGTTAACAGAAATGTTAATGATAGTTGTATTTTGGTAGTAAGAAGATAGTTTATTTTTAAAGCCACATTTCTGGACTTCCTACATTTTTTTTTTTAATTTTGATTAAGCACATACTACTTTTGAATTGGAAATGTAAATTAACCAATACAATGTTAAGTTAGTCACAGCTCAAGGATATATATTTTGGATAACCAGATTTATTTTTAGTTGCATGTCAGTTTACCAGGAAATTAGCCAGATATTAAAAATTAGCTATATGGCAGCCATATGAATGTGCTGACCTGAAAATGAGAAAAAGCCAGAGTACATTCTTCATCTAGTTCCTCCACTGAGGCCTGCTTGGCAGCATCTCATATAGAATTAAGCTGAATAGGGAATGGCCTAGTTATAACTCCGTATTCTCAGTGGAGGTATTTTATTGGCAGAAGAAACAACCAGCCTCTTTTTTTCATCAGTGGCATCAGGATGAGATTCTGTTCTTGAGCCACTGGAATTAGGTTAAGTTACCATTAACACACAGGAAGCAAAAGATAAGTAAATGAATTTAACGTGGTTTGGCAGGTAGACAGACAAACACATGGCCTATTTCTGTCTTCTGGAAATTTGATCATGTTAGCATGGATATGCCTCTGACAATTCTGGAGACCATCCACAACTTCAATGAAGAAAAACCCAAACACTGAAGAAGCAGCTAAAGCATTCTTTGTTTCTTTTTTCTGGCAATAGCTTTTCTGATGACCATTTTATATATCAGCTTTGCTTTCTCCTTTTCCGGTTTCTAGGCAGTAGTAATGTTGGGGATACACTCCCCACTGGGCAGCTGTCCAACATCCCATGGCGTCGGGCAGGGGTAAAATACACAAACAATGAAGCCTATTTTGATGTCGTTGAAGAAATAGATGCAATTATAGATAAATCAGGTAATTATGTGCATGTGGTCATATTTGGGGGAAAACAATTCAGCTGACACAAGCTAAATAGAAAATTGAAATCCCTTAGCAATATGATTTCAGTGGAAAGGCATTTGTCTTCTAATGATTTAAAACTCTATTTTGACCAGAGGCTACATATAATTTTCACAACCACTAGTTGAAATCTGCCAAACATTAATAAATCAGAACTTATGATGCCTTACTTTAAGTCAATTATTACCTTGGATACCTCTCCCACTTGTTTATTCATTGTAACATTTATTGCATATCCACCTTATACCATACTTTTGCTACTACTTTATGTACAGTACTTCCAGGAAGGGCCCCTTTCTGATTATTTTGGAACCAGACAAAACAACAATACTCTATTGGGATCATGATATTTTATTATTAAAAAGATCTAATCTTATCCTTACCTTTTATACACAAGGAAACTGAGGCACAGAACAGTTAAGTGAACTGCTCATGGTCACGCAACTAATTGTTATGTGATAATGACTTTTTGTAAATTATAAGCCAATATCTTTTTTCAGTGAGTGCCCTTTCCATTATAACATTCCATGTTATAGAATAATAGATTTTCTATTATGGCTCCTATTTCCTAAAAGCTAACAAGTAGTTTAGTCCATTTCTTATGAAACTTGCCTCATTTTAAAATTCTATTACATTCAGTTCTGTGATGTTCCATGAAAAGAAAAAAAATAAAATAAAATAAAAATAAAATAAAATTCTATTACAAATGTTTTAAACTCATAGCCAGTACTCTTAAAGGGTTGACTCTATAAAGGAAACAGTTTGATTTTCCTTAGAATTATCATATTCTAACCTGAGTTAGGTACGGACCATAGCACTTCAGTAAAGAAGCTATCTGAACTCGTGTCATGGATCCTCTGTCCACTGATTTGTTAATATAGGTACAAAGCTTCAGTAAGTCTGACACCCAGGGGGTATGTCCATTACCCCAGATATAGCAGTAGCTCTAGTAAAGACCCAGATTTCATTGTTTTAATCTCCCTTTTTATTTCTTTCTTCAGGATCTACAGTCTTTGCCGAAATTCAGGGAGTCATTGATGCTTGCATTAAGCTATCTGGAATGCCTGATCTCTCCCTTTCCTTCATGGTAAATTTTATTCTCATGTGCTGTAGTCCCTTGTATGCCTAATACATGTGAAGAACAGAATGCAATGATAAATACTGTGATAAGTTTGTATCTTAGATTGGAAAGGATTATCTCAAAAATATTCCTAGTACAGCTTCCCATTCAATCACTTAGAAGATGAGCATGGCCTTTATGGAAATGAGGAGAGGGCTTTGCCTAAGTGTGCTAGAAGTGGCTTAAAATTGGCTGGCTGGCTTATGCAGATCTCCCGTATCATTTTTACTGAATAATTATTTGCTTTGCTGATATGAAAGGGGATTGGTCTTTTGTGTCATTTTAGACTCAGCATGAAATACTGCTAAAAACAATTTAGAGAACTGATTTCTGGTGCTGTCTCTGTCACCAGTTTGTCCTGACCTTAAGTTCTTTGAACCTCAGTTTTTTCATCTATGAAATGGAAATGATACTACTGGCCTTTTATCCCTAATAGTTATAGAAATTCAAATAAAATAATGTATATAAAATATTGCAAACTTTAAAGCATTATGAAACAATAAGGTTGCGTCATAGTAAACTCTTATATGACTGCTTTATCTTTAAGGAGCATATCAATCTTTCATAGTACCAGAGTAGAATTTCCATATTCATCATATTATATGAATACAGCTCTCTTCTGTTTTCCTGGCAGAACCCCAGGCTTCTGGATGATGTCAGCTTCCACCCCTGCATCCGGTTCAAGCGCTGGGAATCTGAAAGAGTTTTGTCATTTATTCCTCCAGATGGAAATTTCCGACTCATATCATACCGTGTCAGCTCACAAAAGTATGTTAATACATCAACCATAGTCTGCCATCAAATATATCAGTATATTGAGTAGAACTCACATTTCCCTGTTTCATTCTGACATTTGGGTGCTTGAGTTCATCAATACTCACTTTAACCATGGCTCACCAGGAGACCCAGTGAGAACTGCTGAATGTATGTGCCTAGAATAACCAATACACCTTGAATCTAAGAGTGTAGAGTAGTAGTAAATGAGACTATAATATAATCTGTAGCTGAGAGCAAGCATTTTTGGACCACACATAATCTAGGCAAAACTATGAACTGGTGCCATAATTTTACTATGGTCTGTAGACTTTGTGGCAAATAGGAGACACATCTACCTATAGCTCCCTCCCCAGGACATTCCCCAAATTACCTGCTTCAAGTCACTGCTTGAGTTTTAAAGGAACAATTTAGTATTGTGGGTCATAGCTAGCTTGTCCCCTGAAAATATCAGAAATTATTTCAGTAACATCAGAATAGGTCTCAAAAGTAAAGGAATTATTTCTTGGTTCTTATCACATAGGAACTGTTTTATATTTAAAAAATCAGATATTTTAAATTATCTTTCAATGGGATTTTAACTCATTTTTTTTAAGCTAGAGGCATTTGCCCCAAATGTTTATGCTATAATTAAACTTCAGATTTCTGTCTTGATTTTATATACTTGTTGCTGAAAAATCACACAGTTCCTAGCACAGTGGTACCATTGGGCTACACTCAGCACTCCCTTGCCCAGATGCTGAATCTCCAGTTCTAGAGGTACAGTTGTCCCTTGTTATCCTTGGGGGTTTCGTTCTAGGACCACCACCCACCCCATGGATACCAAAATCAGCAGGTGCTCAAGTCCCTATATAAAATGTAGTATTTGCATATAACGTATGCACAGCCTCCTATATACTCTAAATCATCTCCAAATTACTTGTAATACTTAATACAATGTAAATGCCATGGAAATAATTGGTATATGCCATGTTGGGTTTTTTTGCTTTTGCTTTTGTTCTTGTTTTTGTTTTTGTTTTTTTGAGACAGATTCTTACTCTGTTGCCCAGGCTAGAGTGCCTAGCTCACAGCAACCTCAAACTCCTGGGCTCAAGCAGTCCTTCTGCCTCAGCCTCCCTAATAGCTGGGACTACAGGCATGTGCCACCATGCCTGGCTAGTTTTTTTTATATATACTTTTAGTTGTCCAGCTAATTTCTATTTTTTTAGTAGGGACAGCGTCTTGCTCTTGCTCAGGCTGGTCTCGAACTCCTGCCCTCAAGCGATCTTCCCACCTCAGCCTCCCAGAGTGCTAGGATTACAGGCATGAGCTACCGCGCCCAGCCCCATGTTAGTTTTTTATCTTCTTTTTTTTTTTTTTTTATTGTTACTGGCTTATTTTTTCTTAAATATTTTGTTTTTGTTTTTGAGACAGGGTCTCGCTCTGTTGTCCAATCCAGGATGTAGTGGCATCAGCATAGCTCACTGCAACCTCAAACTTCTAGGCTCAAGCCATGCTCCTGCCTTAGCCTCCCAAGTAGCTAGGACTACAGGCACACACCACCATGCCTAGCTAATTTTCTTTTTATGTTTTATAGAGACAGGGTCTCACTATTGTCCAGGCGGGTCTTGAACTCTTGGCCTCAAGTGATCCTCCTACCTCAGTCTCCCGATGTGGTAGGATTATAGGCCTGAGGCACCACATCCAGTCCCAAATATTCTCAGTCCACAGTTGGCTGACTTCAAGGATGCAGAACCACAGATAAGGAAGGCCAACTGTATAGAGCCCTATTGTGCAGTCAGAGGCAGGGTAGGCTACTCTGGACTGAGGTTTTCAGGCCATCTCTGAAGCTGTCCCACACCATTAATTGTGTATATGTGTTCTTTTGTGTCTTTGTTTCTCTATTTAGTCTAGTGGCAATACCAGTATATGTAAAACATAATATCAGCTTTAAGGAGAACAGTTCTTGTGGCAGATTTGATATAACAATTGGACCAAAACAGAACATGGGAAAAACTATTGAAGGAATTACAGTGACAGTTCACATGCCAAAAGTTGTGCTGAATATGAACCTGACACCAACACAAGGCAGCTATACATTTGATCCAGTCACCAAGGTACAGCCACTTCACATCAAGAGTGAGCAAGTGTTTCTGCAATATATTTTGTGATTTGTGGGGAGGGACAGAGGGAATGGTTTAGAATCTTATTTAAAAGTAAAGCTCCTATCAAAACCTAGAGAGTACTGTGCTGTGCTTCTGCCACTGGCTGTGGAGGGAATCCTGCATCTGCTACTGAGTGGGTAAATGGAAAAGTGAGACTCATTCTGTCCTTTTTCAGAGTGTGCTTTACTCATCCATTGCTAATCCAGAGACTCCACTATCTAATGAGATAAAAGAAATAAAAGATTTTTTAAAAGAAATTTATATTATGTGGATACAAGAAGCTATTATGCTAGTCTCTTATTAAAATTTCCATAGAAATTGATCAAGGCTTTTATCTTCCCTTTTAATTTAAAAGCATCATTTCATACTCTTTCACAGGGGATGTTGGCTAGGAAAGTTGCTTCCTCCCCCTACTTATGCCTCTAGCAGAGGGTTTTCAGAGAAACCATAGAAGATTATTTTCTCTCAGCTTCCTGTTGGGTAAAAAATATGATTGTTTTCAACAGCAAGGTCATTGAGCTGCCTGATAAATGATAAGGCATATTTTTTAATAAAGTCATGGAATTTTAAAAATCATTTAACCCAGTCCTAAGGATTCAAAGAACCTCCCCAGAGACTACATAGGGGTGAGAAGGGGAGCTTCACATTCCTGGCCCTTTACCCAGGCTTCAACTTTGCTTCCTCATCTACTGTTGAGCTTACACACTAAAGATTTCATTTGAACAGAGGGTTCCATAGCTAAGTTTAAAAACATCAACCTCAGTCAGTCTTAATTTACAGAAAAACAAAAAGGTCCAGAGAAAAGTAGTGAAGATGGTATAATGGAAGGAACATTTGAAATCAGATGGCCTTAGGTTCACGTCCCAACTTTGCCTCTACCTAGCTGTGTGACCCTGTCATTTGATCTCTCTGACCTACTCATTGGTAAATAGAGGACAAAATCTACTTCCCTGCCTTCTATGAGATAACATGGGAACAGTGCTGAGCACCGTGCTAATCCAAAAGTAAATGCTCAACAAATGTGGAGTCTCCACCCTCCATCTCTATTCAAAATCACAGAGCTAATTAGTGGTAAACTCAACATAGCTCTCAGGTCGCTTGTTCTCAAGACTGTGCTTCATTTTGTATAGAAGTTATGGTGTCTTTGAGCATTTGTCTTTAACAAATGGTTTTGATTGTTTTTGATTGTATGTCTTTTTAAGGTACTAACATGGGATGTAGGGAAAATTACTCCTCAGAAGCTCCCAAGTCTTAAAGGACTGGTAAATTTACAGTCTGGAGCACCCAAACCAGAAGAGAATCCAAGCCTCAACATACAGTTCAAGATCCAGCAGCTTGCTATTTCAGGTAAGGATAAGTCTGACTTGTGTTTAAGGGTAATTGAGTTTGCTGAGCTCAATTATTAAGAGGCTAGAAGAGTAACAAACATTCCCTCTCTAGAAAGTGGAAGGGCTCCAGTTTGCCTTTTACACTGCTTGGGAGCCAGCCCCTGAGACATTAATGGTTTTGGAAAGAACTTTTATTTCAGAGCTTCCCCTCACCCCCACCCTCATTTGAGCACCAAAGAGGAAGTCAATTCATTTTTACAAAGAGTAGAATTATCCTTAACAGACATTCCCTGCCTATATGGGAATCTTAACTAAAACCATACCCTCACAGTGCATTCATTCACAAATGGTAGAAGAGCCATTGCTTCCAAATGGCGGAAGGGACACTGGTTAATGTCAATGTAGTGTTCATTGCTAACAATGAGTTAGCATAACTGTATTGGTGTGACTGTAATAATTTGTTCCTTTTCATTCTTTTGGACACAGGCTTAAAAGTAAACCGCTTGGACATGTATGGGGAGAAATATAAGCCATTTAAAGGAGTCAAATATGTCACAAAAGCTGGAAAGTTCCAAGTGAGGACATGAGAAGAGGCCAAAATTTCTCAAGATCAGTTTGTTTTCCAAGTGTCATTACAATTTATTACTATTAGGTACCAAGTGGGTGGGAATACGTATTCTAGTTAAAGCATTTGTGTCGAGCTACATACCGCTAACAAAGTAGCTTAGTAATTAATGTAGGGTTCTTAAGGAGCTTTAAGCTAAGGAAACTTTTTTAATGACTTAGCTTATTTTGTATCTTTTCACTTAGGAAGATTTTGGAGGTAATTTCTTCCACAGTGGGGTACCACCTGGATGCTGTACATTGTAACAGGAAAGGCAGAAACTACAGTGATAACCTCTCCTAAAACAAGTTAACTGGTCTCATCCAGCAGGAGCGATCTTAATCTGTGACATGATGTGTCAGGTGCAGTCAAATGTCACACCTTCTGATCTTAGCCATCCCAAATCAGTGTCTCTCCCAACAGAGGGAATCCTTCCCCACCGCCCAAGAAGTTTACAAAAAACTGCCTCTTCAAGTGTTTGCCTTATTCAGCTTTTCACTTGTGCCATTAAGCAAGCACTGTAGCAAAAGCCACATCCACATGGCCCTGGCAGGGAGCACTGCTGCTCCATGCTCCATTCTCACTGTACTTGGTATTGTATTTTTTATAAATAAGATTTTTATGTAAAGCTCAGATTTTGATTTACAGGGACCTTGCTGCAGTAAATAACATCTCAATTTGTGCCACTGGTTCAGCTGTTAGCATAATAAATATCATTTGTATCAAAGGGGCAAATGCTTTATTAAGGTAGTAAAAGGGAACACTACTTCTGCTTTTAGGAAGTTTTTGCAAGCACAAGCATTTGCACTTTTAAGCAAATTAAAGTAGTAAAAGAGAAACTTAAGTGAAACCTTTGTCATCTTCATGTTTTATAAAGCTTATCTAATACCACTTAAACCATAGTCAGCCTAAATGCTTCATGCCCCAGTTCAGCAAAAGGAGGAAAACGTGCCTGCCTCACTATGCTCAGTCTTTATTAATCTTTTATCTTTTTGTTGCTGTTCTGAGGGGGTTGAATTTGCCTGCATCCCTCTTTATACTGTGTGCTTCCCAAGGGTAGAGTCATAGATTCCTTCCTAAACTATTGTCATAATTATTACTTGAGTAGTTAAATGTCTCTACTGACAAAATACATGGAAGTGCATTATAATGAGGCAGAAACAAAACTCTCAGTAACATTGATGATACCACACTGATCATCATGGTTAGAAAGTCAGTCAAGAGTTGTATCATTTCACTCAACTTCATTGTGTCATTTCATTCAACTTCACAGGCTTGGGAGTCCTGGCCTGGTTATTTTGCCTCATTAGACATGAAGAAATGGAGAAAGGCTGAAGGTTAAGATATAAGTGCTTGTTCTTCACATTTCCTTCTTGTTCTTACGTATACTATTAGTTTTCTTCTCCTTGTGGCTCCATTATTTTCTTTCAATCTTCTCAGCTTGTAGCTGACTTGCCCTATTACGCTAAAGACAGCCCTTACACTCGATCCTGTTTGTGCTGTCAAGGACTAGGTGGTTGGTGCCGGTAGAGGGAGCCCACTGCACAGCGGCATTCTTACCTTTGCCTGCCCAGGGTGCAGCCTGCTTCTCATCTCCTAAGAAAGGCCACTTTTGCAACTTCTGAATTTCTAGAGTAACCAATCTCATATTAGCAACTAAAGTCAAAATGTTGCCAAATATTTATTCCTTTTGCCTAAGGTTGGTTTTACCCAGTGCAATTGCTTTTCATTGTTAATGTCTTACTCTTCAGAGTTCTTACCTCAAAAGAGCAGCAAGAACATTTGCTTTTCTTTCTGTATAATCCCTAATCCCAACAATCCATCCCTGGACTGTCAAGTTTCCTCCTATGCTGTCTTCTCTTCCATTCAAGCAGAATATATGCTAAGAGACCCTTGCCTCTAGCAGTTTCTGCTATATCCAAGTAGACTGTTTCCTTTCACAATTAAATTATTATATTTATTAATTTGATAGAATTCAGTAAACCATTTCTCTAGCTCTGGCTATACTATCAATAAAAAGATGAAAACAACAAATCGTTTTTGTTTTTGTTTTTAAGCCTCACTGTTGTTCAAACATTCTGAGATGTGTGAGGCTCAGTGTCAGAGCAGGCTGAACATGACCAGATTTTTTCTGTATCATCACACAAGCTTTGACAGTTGCTCACCTAACCTCAATATCTTAACAGCCATTCTTACTTTCTTTAAGCATCACACTTCTGGCCACAGACTGAGATCAAAGCTACCTTCCGAACTACCACCTACCAATAACAAATATTCATGAATACTTAGTAGTAGTATTTTTCAAGGTTTTTCAATATTAGAAAATATTGAAATCCCAGCTAATCCCAGATTATTCCCTTTTCCTAAATTCATAAAGGAGTCTATCCCAAGAGCAAATGAAATAGATTATTGTCTGCATGAGGGCCTCAATATCATCTTAATCAAAGGGAGTGCATCTGATGGGCTCATTCCTTAACCGGTGCTATAGAAGAACCCTTGGAAAATGCTAGTCTTACTGCTGCTTTTAGAGGCAACAGATCTGAGAGAACAACTATAATGCAGCAGGAAGGCAGCACCAGTGAGCATGGTAAATAGCAGAAATGAGACAGTTTTAGCGATTGCTAATTCAGCAGCTTTGGACATTTTTCTTTACTTCAAACAGCCTGGGATCTGCCTCTATAGTCGGCAGCTTTTCTGAGTTAAAGCAGTGGTAAAAGCATTTGGCAACACTAAATATGAATATCACCCTTTAATGATATTCACTCCTTTCAGATCTAGAAAAACAGGCAAAAACAATGATGTCCCAATTCTACTCCAAGTACCTGCTCCTACCTTTATAGCCAGTGCTCCTCAAGCAAGAAGAGGAATATGTCCCCCAAAACTAACTCTGCCTCATAGCCCTGTTGGATCCCTGACAACTGTACTATTCTATACTAGGCTTTGGAATATGAAAAATGGACCTGTGGTGCTCCTGCATATTTAACAACTTCAGCTTTTTAGGGGATAGTGATGGTCTCCATGAATAGCTAGAATCTTCTGAGATGAAGACAAACTACTCCCCCTGGGGGGTAATTCACATCATCTGGCTGCCTTCTGCCTACTGTTAACCTTTGTCACTTCGTTCCTTCTATGGTATGATCCCCAAAGTTGTCCATTATCACACAGATCCTCATTAAGCAAATATACTACTGTTGATTTCTTCTTCTAAAACATTTGGATTAAATAAAAATCTTTAGTTTTCAGATCTTGAAGATTAGTTTCATTGGCTATTCTTCAAAATGAAGGAGAAACCTGACCTAAAAGTTCTTACTAAAATAACATACCCATCGTTTAAACCATTATTTATACAAATGCATTTTATTGTTTTAAACAGAACAAAAGAGGCAGAAAATATTTGCATATAATAAATCTTAGCTTATAAATGTAGTTTTTTAGTGGTGACATATCTAATCATTCAGGGATTTTTTTTTTTTTTTGTCTTTTAAATTGCTTCACTGTGTCTTGAGCACTGATACTAGAGAAAAAGCATATCTGGCATGAAGTATAAACCAGTGTCTCGAACCTCTGGAAGAACTTGGAGAGCAAACATGATTTTTCTTATTTCCTCTAATCTTTAGTAAAACAAAAGGTGATCTTTGGCATAGATTCATACTTTAAAGGCATTAATATTGCATTTATATCAGGTAAGCACTATACAAATATGCTGAGGGCTTGGAAAATAACCTTCATCAATTAAAAGGAAATAAAGGAAGCCTGAGTGTACAGGACTAACCACCTTAACACAAGTTCTACACATTCAGTGTTGGGATCAAACACACATTGAGGGCTGGAAGGAAGGACATTTAGGCTAGAGTTCTTACTCCTTTATCTCGTTCTGGGCTCCGGGAGGAAATATGGTTTCATATGCTAGGAAATACTTAGCAGTGATAGGTACAAAAAAGGAAAAATTGTCCTAACTTTGCCTAATAGGAATCTTACTGTGGTGATAAATATTATACCCATTACTCTCTTGAATGTACTTGGATGAGAATGTAGGGGGCTTGGTTGTGGCTGGCTGAAGGGGGGAAGGAATTACAAAGGAGTATTTCCCACTGATTCATTCCTAGTAGCACCAGAATTCTAGTCTGTAGATACCACTCTGCCTTAGGCAGGAAATGTCCTTCAGACAGGATTACCTTTCCACTAACACTCTTGGGAGGCAAGAATAAATTCTTAGGACTTAATTTCAAAAGGATCTTCCAAAACTACAGATGAACACCTACATATCTTTAAAATCTTGTTTAGGAAGGGTATGGGGGAAGACTACAAAAACCAGGATGGGAGACATGATTTGGTTAAAAAATAAATGCAGCATTTCAGCTCAGAAAGAACAATTAAGAGCTAAAAATGAATGATAAGGCCTCAGCACAGACCTCCGCAGGCAGTGACAAAGCATAGAGCGCCTAGGAGTGGCCCCACCAGGAAGATGGGCAGGGCCACACCCCAGCTACTCTGCCCCTCCAGTGGCAGAGAGCACCAGGACACAGTGTTTGTGGGATGGCTACCTTGGTGGCCATGGCAGGATATGGGATGGGAAGTTTCCCTAGCACAGACATTGCTCGGGGGCATGGTAAAGACAGGATCATATAATTCTGATTTCCTCTGTGAAATTTGGTTTTGTACACTGTGGAAAACTAGAAGGATTAAATTGGGGAAGGGCAGGAAATTAATCCAGGCCCCATATGCTGGGGCTCCCCAGAGGCCACCTTCCCCTGCAGCAGCGAAGCTCACTTCTGAAAAGGACCCAAGTAGCACAGCCCAGGGAAGGTAGGCAGGGTCAGCAGCAGCATGGAAAGCTCAAAACAATTGTTGGAGGCACAGTGATTTCCTTCTTAACTGACTTGCCTGGGCCCTGGGTCTTGGGAACCAGAAGGGTAAATGGGGTCCAGCAGAGGCAGACAGAGGGAGATGCCTCCTAGGGATCAAGGGCAGAGCAGGGTGTCTGGCTAGTATTCACTCTTGGATTCTGAGCTCATGTGAAGTCCATGAGCTAGAAACCCAGCCTGCCTATTTGGGATTGAGTGTGCACGAGCATAACTGTGTTTGAGAATACAGGCTTTATACGGAGACACATTTCAAAGTGTCCATGAAAAAAGTATAAATGTTTTCTAATGTGAAGAGGCCCCTATTCCTTTCTGATGTGCCAGGCCAGGATGTGGCTTTCATTGCCCAGCAAATTTGGGTGGCTCCTGGGACTCAGATCATTTTCCTTCTGTTTAGTAGGGGTTTCTGTCCCAGCAGGCTCAGCCAGGTGCCTACTGGTACCAAGGAGTCTTTCTAACCCAGCGCAGTGTAAAGCCAGCATCTGTTCGAATTTTGATTGAAGCAGCTTCTGCTTCTCGCACCGTCTCCTTCACAGACTGCATGAGGTTCTGGGCGTTGTGAACCAGCATCTCTGTGGCCTGCAAGGAAAGAGGTATTCTCCATTACTCACAGTCCCTGATGCAGCCCTGCCTCCAAAATAGGTTTAAGCCAGGTGTAGACTACAGTTAACCCCATTGGTACCTGGCATACCCTGTACTTGCCCATATCACTGGTGGTTTAGCTGGATCACCAAAAAGGACCCAAAAGTGGACCATCACTGACTGTGTACCTTCACATGGCCTATAGCATATACTCTCTCTTCATCGTCAGACATGCTCATCCTTCAGGACCCGCTGTTCCCTCTACCTGGAAGGTTCTTTCTCCAAGTATCCCCCATCTCCCCCCTCACCTCCTTTAGATCTTTGTTCAATTTTCACCTTGGTGAGGCCTTCCCTGCTCATATTTAAATCACAAACCATCTCCCCAACTCCCAGCATTGCTCATGCTTCAATTCTTTCTTCATTTTTCTCCATGGAACTTATCATTACTGATAAACTACATAGTTTACCTAGGTTGTTTGGTTTTTTGTTTTGTTTTGTTTTTTGAGATAGAGTCTTGCTCTGTGACCAGGGCTAGAGTGCCGTGGCATCAGCCTAGCTCATAGCAACCTCAAACTCCTAGGCTCAAGCAATTCTCCTACCTCAGCCTACTGAGTAGCTGGGATTACAGGTGCTTGTCACCATGCCAGGCTACTTTTTTCTATTTTTAGTAGAGATAAGGTCTCACTCTTGTTCAGGTTGGTCTCGATCTCCTGACCTCAAATGATCCGCCCACCTTGGCCTCTCAGAATGCTAGGATTACAGGCGTGAGCCACTGAGCCCAGCCAGTTGTTTGGGTTTGTTTGTGGTTTGGGGGGGAGGGGTTGTTTGTTTTTGAGACACAGTCTTGCTCTGTCACCCAGGCTAGAGTGCAGTGTATGATCATAGCTCACTGCAACCTCAAACTCCTAGGTTCAAGCGATCCTCCTGCCTCAACCTCCTGAGTAGCTGGGACTACAGGCACATGCCACCACACCCAGCTAATTTTTAGCTATTTTTAGTAGAGATGGGTCTCGCTCTTTCTCAGGCTGGTCTGGAACTCCCGAGCTCAAGGGATGTTCCTGCCTCAGCCTCTCAAGTAGCTAGGATTACAGGCACATGCCTCCATGCCTGGCTCATCCTTATTTCTATCTCTATCAGAGAAACTTAAAGAGAATACAAGAGAAGCACCTCCTTTGAGCTATCATTTCATTCTCCGCACAGGCCTACCCACCTCCTGTCAATGATAAAAAAAAACCTACCCTATTCATCCTCCCTGAGGCACTAACTGCCCAAGGCTGGAAAGCATGCAGTGGGTGAGAGTGAATAAGCCCTGGAGGCCTCAGAAAACCAAACCCATTCCCAGGGGTAAACAACTGAGTCCTAACTGCCACTGATTCATAGTGTTACTTCAGACACTTAAACCTCCCTACACCTCAATTTCCTATCTGCTGGCTGACAAAAGTTGCACAAGAGCTTTACTTTCAATTCCAAAGTTCCAATGTGTCTCCCCAACACATCTGTCCCCTCCTGAGAGTAAGAGTCCATCCAAATACTGAATACTCAATTCAGAAGTAAAATTCCCCCAAAGCTGTATAAAATTGCTGCAAAATGGCAGAGGCTGCTGGCAAGAAACCAAAAGCAGCAGACACATACCTGCTCAGACTCCTCATCACTGATGTTGGTCCGGCCCAGCATGGTGGCCTTCACTGTGGACAGGATTTTGAGCTGGGTGCTTATGGTTGGAATCCGCTCACATAC